GCGCGGGCACTCCTAATCAGGAGCGGGCGCGCCTCTCCTGTACTTCCGAAATTCAACAAAGGAGGCAGAAGGGGGCGCGGTTTAGGCGCGACCCAAGCGCGGGCGCGCCAACCAGAAGGAGCGGGCGCTCCTATATTAGGAGAGGGCGCTCCTCCCAAAACCTGCGAATATTCATGCAGAAAGTCAGAGAGGGTCGCGGTTTAGGCGCGACCCAAGCGCGGGCGCGCCACTTGGACGCGCGGGCGCACCAAATGACGCGCGGGCGCGCCAACTTTCTCCTTCCAAACCTTTAGATTCCAGTGAGGTCCGCGGTTTAGGCGCGACCTCAGCGCGGTCGCGCTTACCCAGCGCGGGCGCTACTCATGGTTCGCGAGCGCGCAACCATCAACACTCTAAATCTTCCAACAATCAAAAGTACGAATTGCATCAAACGAGGGTGGTTTATCAAACAATGTTTCGAAGGGTGTTTTGTTTTGTAGCAATGGAGTAGGAGTACGGTTAATTAGGTGAGCTGCGGCAAGGACACACTCCCCCCAAAAATAGATAGGTAATTTGGCTTGAAACCTCAAAGCTCTCCCAACTTCAAGAATGTGTTTGTGTTTACGCTCAACCCTCCCATTTTGTTGAGGAGTCCCCACACACGAGGTTTGAAATATAATTCTAGTGGTACTAAAATAATCAAACAAACAATTAAATTCAGTATTATTGTCACTCTGCACAATTTTAATGGTTTGGGAAAATTGTCTATCAACCGTTGCAACAAATGCCAAAAACATTCGAAAAACCTCAGTTTTATCAACCAACAAATAAATCCAAATTGCTCAGGAATAATCATCCACAAAAGTCAAAAAATAACGAACTCCATACGACAAAACATGTCAATATGGACCCCACAAATCACAATGTATTTTCTCAAAAATCCTAGAAGCTCTACTATCACTTAGAGGAAATTTATTTCTAGGATGTTTAGCACGCATACATACTTCACACCCCTTAACTAAACAATCTCATACTTCACACCCCTTAACTAAACAATCTTTATTGCTACTAACATGAGGAAGCAACTTAACTACTTTCTCGGAAGGATGACCCATTCGACGATGCCACAACTCCAAGCTTGAGGTTGCTTCAACAACGCCAACATGATGTATCGAATCCGAATTGCTAAAATAATATAGTCTGTCTCTCCTAGCCCTCGTTCCAATCAGCTACTTTGCTTGGTCCTGTATAGCACACATATAAGGATTAAATTAGACAGTACAATTAAGCGCATCAGAAAGTTGTGACACTGGAAGCAAATTACAACTCAAATGAGAGACATAAAGAACCCCGATGAGGGTGATCTTGTCCGATAAACGAACAGAACTAACTAAAGAGGCCACCACCGTGTCCCCGTTAGGTAAACCAACGGGACACTCAAAATTTCGTGTATCAAACAACCAAGAGTCATCTCCGGTAACATGGTGAGTGGCTCCGGTGTCAATAATCCATGAAGTAACATCAAACTTACTACTCAAGCGATTTTCAGGAACATTGGCATTACCAAACAAACTCGTAATTGCCATCCATTGCTCGCTTAAGAACACTTGGCCATGAGAAGGAGCACCCGAACCCATGGCTGCATTTGCGCGCGCCGATCCTTGGCCACGGCCAGCCGAGAGTGACCCCCCCTGGCTGCCGTCACCCGAACTAGGTGGATACCCATGTAGTTCAAAACACTTGCTTTCTATATGTCCCCGTTTCTTGCAATGATTGAATACTTTGTCGGACCAACATCGTGAAGTCTCATGACCACCCTTTTTGCACTTGGCACACACCGAGCTACTAGCACTATGATCAGACCCCTCACGGCCTCGAGCACTACCTGTACGGACAGCAAAACCGGCTGCTTGCACCGGTTCCTCTCGGACTCGATCAAGTCCTCTCACAAGCTCATCTTGTGAAACCTACTGATAAGCCTTATTTAACATGGGCAATGGGTCTTGTGCCAAAATATTAGACCTAGTTTGAGCGCAATACTCGGAACAAAGGCCTAGTAAAAATTGTTGGAGTCTGTCATCTTCACGCCTTTTTTCATGTTGCCTACCCACATGACATGTACACTTCCCACACTCGCAATTAATTAAAGGTTCAAGTTTAGCAAGTACATCCCACAAACCTTTAATTTGCCAAAGTAAATAGCCACTGTCATATTCTTAGATTGTTCACACCTATTAATTTGAGCCTTTGAATTCTGAATACGTGGACCATTAACCACACAAAATCTTTCATGCAAATCATCCCATTTTACCTCCGGATCGATCATGTTCATGAGCCACGAAACAAGCATACAATGTACCACAACCCAATCCTCCTTGGTCGCGGGCGGCACACAATCGGTGATAGTACCATCTAAAAACCCAAACTTTCTCCGAGAAGAAAGCGCTACATAGATCGCATGAGACCAAGCATCAATATTGTCAAGCTTTAATCAAATCGGAGTGATAAAATCGCCAGGCCTATCATGCGCCCCTAGATAAAACGGTGAATTTGTTTCGATTTTTAGTGGTGGAGGTGGTGGTGTATCATCGCCAGCCATGACTGAAATTTGTGATTGAAAAAAAAAAAAAAAAAAAAAAAAAAAAAAAAAAAAAAAACCTTGGCTCTTATACCATGTAGAATTTATGAAGGCAAAAGCTTGAATCCCATTAATCAATGTTCAACCATATATAATACAAGTTAAAACAACCCTAACAAGATAGAATTAGGGAAGTATCAAAAGATATTATAAACTACCAAAAATATGCTATCAAAGATATCCTAAGATTTCCGGAAAATATATCCTATTTCCTCAATAGATAATAATTAATAGGATTAATACCATTTTTTAATCCCAACTTTTACCAATTTATTTTTATTAATCCCAACTTTGGATTATTCCTCAATAATCCCAACTTTAAGGTGAATTTTCATTCTTCATACCCAAACCGGTCAACAAAAGTCAACAACCTTCTATTGTAGGTTGTTGGACACGTGTCGCCATGTGAGTGGTCTAATTTTTTTTTATTTTTTTTTTACTGAACCAAATTTTTTTTAAAAAAAAGAAAAAAACAGGAAAAAAAAAAAAAAAAAAAAAAAGAAAATCTGACTCAGCCATACAGCCACCCTAACCTGTCGCCGCACAGCTGCTACCCACCTAAACCACCTCCTTTCCCGACCAACCAACCAGAAACGACCCCCTCTCCCCAGCTCCACCGTCGAAATCGGCCAAAAGCCCAAACCCTTTCCCTTGAAACCACTCCCATCCCTCAAAACCGCCCAATCTGCGAGAACGAAGGCGAGGTATGGTGTTTGACAGTAAAGGGTGGAGAGAGAAAAGCAAAAAGGGAGGGGGTACGGTGTTTGACGGTGTTAGAACACTCGGTCCTTCCACATGAACTTGACCGGAATATCCCCTTTCCCCAGCCCCGCCCCCGAAACCACCCCAAACCACCGTAAACCCACTCGAAAACCACCCTAAAACGAAACCCACATCACCCTAAACCAATCGGAAACCACCCAAAATCAAACCCCAACCCCAAAACTACCCTAAACCCACTTGGAAAATACCTCAAAATCGAACCCTCACCCTGAAACCGCCCTAAACTCACCTCGAAACCTCCCTAGTGATAGAGGACCATTAGATTAAGGGTGAGGAAGGGAGAGAGAAAGAAAACAGGGAAAGGGAGGTGCCGAAATCCTTGGGTGGCCGGACATAGAGGTGGAGGTGGTGGTTTTCGGTCAGGTTGGGGAGTGGGTATGTTGGGTATTTGCAGTGTGAACATAGATATTTTTTGTCCTAAAATGAAAGTGATGCAATATTTTTGAAACTTACCTAAAAGGCAAGTGATGCGATATAAAAGAGCGGAGGAAGTATATATATATATATATATTAATGAGGGTAATATTAAAAAGGATGTTGCTAACGAACGTCCCGAGCGTTAGTGGACAAAATCACGCATCGATCGGTATAATTAATGTTCACTTTAATTTAATATTTCTACGTTTAGTTATCTTATCCAACGCCCCGCGGCATTCGTTAGCTTTTGCCTATTAAAAATTGGTAAAAGCACCGGGGTGTTACATAGGATAAGTTAAAGTTGAAATATTAAAGTAAAATCAACATTAATTACACTGATTAATGCATAATTTTGTCATACATTTCAAGTTTAATACTCCTATTTTAAGTAATATTAGTTATCTAACACCCTTAGGGGTGCTCGTTAGCAAAATACTTAAAATTTTGTTAAATTATTCTTCTTGTCCATAAAAGAACTTGATAATTATGTTATGATTGTAATCCTTATCATACCCATTTTATTTGTCTAGTTAAAAAGACATATGTGTCTCGGATAATAAAAAAAAAATAAAATAAACTAAAATAAAATTACGAGCTACATTAACTCTTCCCTCTATTTGCCATTCTAAGTTTAACTTTAATGGCTATTTACTTTTATACTTTGTAAATAGATAATTGAGTTTCTTCATAAGAAATCATCATAGTAGCCATAATTATATAGGCCAAATCTATCACATCCAATTCTATATCTAGCGACAATTTGTGCCACTAAGTCACTAACACTATCAAGTAGCAATGAAAGGTCGACGATTGCAGCATTTGTAATAGTAGGGGAGAAAATTTTGAAGTCCAATAAATCTCTCTTCACCACTTACTTCTGGAGAGAAATCGGACAATGAATTTCATAGCTAATAATTTCGACTATAATCACCCCTCTATGCTTTATTTGCTTAAATTTTATAGTGATTTGTTCTGTTTTTATCATATGAAAAAATGAGTTAGGTATCCCTTTCATTTATGAGGTTAATTTAGAGTATAAGCAACTTTTGTCACTAGCATATCTGCATATGAGAGAAAGCTAAGACTAGAAAGAAAGAAGGGAACATACCAGAGTAAAAACCTAAAATCTTCACCTTTTTTTTTTTTTGCACCAACATATCAGAAATTCTGCTCATAAGTGAAATAATACAAAAAAATCTGCTCAAAATGTAAAGCAAAAGTTGTTGGATAAACCAGTACAGCAGATGTCTTAGCCATCAACAAATTGCCAGAGCTCAAAATAAGCATTACAAAAGTAGGCAACATATACAAATAGCCTGAAAGGATGATCTTACAACCAAAAAAAAAAAAAAAAAAGAAGTGAAAGAGAGCATAACAACATTAAGCGTGCAAGATTCTGGATGTATCTGTTAAACATTAAAATTGCATAAAAAAAAAATTAAAAAAAAAAAAAAAAAAAAACCACCAGCAGATCTACAAGCTTCCAGCATGTTGTACTGTTCCTCCTGCCAAGACAAGGACTAGTTTCATAAGTGATCTATTTTTCTACACACACTAAACTAGCTTAGCCTTACACGGGCAATCGGGCATTCTCAGTAATTATAATGGAAACTGAACTGTAATTAAACTAAGATAAAGCAAGCCCTGGTCTTACTCCAAGATACTCGAGTAACTCAACTCCACCATGTGATTACCACAAACTATATCAGCAAAGGAAACATGATCCACGACCAAATAAAGTACATGTTTGTTTGCACTTTATGTAGCTTGCTTTGAAAGTGCTTGAAAATAAAGTAAGTGATACGAAGTGCAAACAACACATCAGAGACAGGCTAGAGCAAACCTAAAAATTTGCTTAGATTTTATCTATAATGCCCATCAGTTAGCGTTGAAAGCCACATAATGGACCATCTACTCACGCAATTCATTGCTTTTTTTAACAAAATTGTGTCCACTACTATTCGAAATTATAGATATATAAAACTACAAAGTGATTATTAGATGGACGTATATATTACCTACCAGCTCCAGCAAAATCAACGCCTCCTATGACCATCATCACGTCGGTTTGACTCATGCTTCCTTGGAGAATCTTCTTCCTTTTCATGCCTTTTCTTTCTGCGATCTTCGTCATCCAGCCTCTCCCTGCCTTTGCGTTCATACCTATCATGCTCCTTCCTTTCATATCTACTCTTTTGCTCTTGATCTCTTTTTTCCCGATATTTACCTCCATGGTCTTCATCCTGCCTCTCCCGCTTACTGCTTTCCTGTTCTTCTTCCCCTCTCCCATGCTTTCTGCTAGCATGATCATCTTCCTCCCTCCTCTCCAAACTCCTTCCTAGCTTCCCATCTTCTTCCCTACTTTCCCTCTTTCTTCTTCCCAGCTCACTCTCCTCTCTTTCACGTCTTTTACTTCTGTATTCATCCACCTCCTTTTCTAACTTTCTGCTAGCACGCTCATCTTCCTCTCTCTTCTCCAGATTCCTCCCTAACTTCCCATCATCTTCCCTACTTTCCCGTTTTCTTCCAAACTGTTCATCTTCATCTCGTCTGCTATGCTTTTTACTTCTATATTCATCCGCCTCCTTTTCCTCCTCATCATCCTTCCTCCTTTCCAGCTTTCTCTTTAGTGACTCGTCCTCCTCTCTTATTTCATGCACATCAATTTCCTCCCTTTCTATCTTTCTCCGATTGTAGTCATCTTTGTCCCCATCTGACTTTCTCCTTTCAGGATCATCTTCCATCTTCTCCCACTTTCTCCTATCTAGGTCAATATTTTCCTTCTTTGAATGCTTTCTGCCTCCCTGCAAGTCTTCCTCCCTAACGTCATGTCTTCTACTACTAACATGCTCACCTTCTGATCTCTTATCACGCTTCCTAATTCCATCTTCTGCCTCGTGTCTCTCGTGCTTCCTATAAATTTGTTCATCTTCAAACCTCTTATTCGTCCTCTTGCTGTCACCGCGCTCATGCTTACTTCGTTCTGCATGATTACCAGGCTCCTTCAAACTTCCTTTCATCATTGAGTCAGTTTGGCTTCTTAGATACCTTGATTGCTTCTCTTTATTGTTCACATTTTCAATTTCTTCTGTTTCAACATCAGAATCATCATCCTCAGAATCGTGCCTTCCTCTTCTACGACTCTTATCCTTTATTTCTTCTTGACCTGAATCAACAGCATCTTCATCGGGATCATACCTCCTACTTTTTTTACTTCTTTCAGGTTCTAGTGCCTTTGTACCATGACCAGAATCATCAGAGCTCTTATAGTAATCATCCTCATGTCTCCTGCCTTTATCATCCCTATCTAAATCATGTCTCTTGCCCCTGTTCAACTCTCTATCAGATGCAGCTCTCTTCTTATAAGTATCAGTAAGCTCATTGCCAGAATTATGTCTATTTTTTGGCAAATGTTGCTCAGATTTCATGGTTTTGTGAACAGGAGACCTACTGCTATCATCAGAGTCACTGCTCGAATCACGCCTTTTTGACACTCTAGCATATCTGTCTCCATCCTTTGTTCGCCCTCTGTAAGACTGATCCCTATCAGAATCAGAGTCACTATCGTCAGAGACATTTTTCTTGGACTTCCTGGTAGATGTTTGCTTTCTCTTTGTTTTCCGATCATAATCAGTTTCCGAATCACTGCTGTTATCTGTACTTTCTGGATCAGAAGACTCACTGCCATGCCTTTTCCTGTTTTCATTCTTTTTAGGTTTCCCCTCTTGATTCTTAATTCCATCATCATCTTGATAATTCTTCTCAGTCTTCACAAACTCGTCATCATGCAAAATTTCACCCTCTTCCCTTTCGTTGCTGTCATCAATATCTAAATCAGCAGGTTTATCCTCAATCCCAAGAGCTGCTCTTAATTTTTCCATTTGCTTCTCTTTCCTAGCTGCAATTTGGTGAGTTTCTGTATCTGATACCCTGGGCAAGGAACGAAAATTTTTAAAATAAAATTTTAACAGAATGATTTTATCGACACTCCCTATGACCATATATGGAATTTATGTGTCTATGGACAGTTCAATAGGAAGAATGAAAAATCCTCTACATCGGATAATGCTCATTGCTAGTTGTTTCATTAGTTACAGATCATGCAAATTTAAGACCTGGGAATTTTCAAATATGAAAACAACGAGACAGAGACGGGGAGACCATGGAATTGAATTCTGATATGGAGTAAAAATGAAATGTTAAATGTTGTTATCAGCAGATAGGAACCGCCCAAATTCAATTGAATGATTAAGCGTCTTAGTCTCTATTGCATTAGGGTAACATAATTTTCAGAGTTAAAATCCTGTCAATAATATCAATCACCATCTAAAAATCTAATTGCAGTATGAGTATCACAAAAATCCGTTCCAGCGTAAACCCAAAATTTCAATCATAACAACTTCTCAACCTCTATACTTTAATTTCAACCTTAACATCACTTTAACTTTAATGGTACTTGTAAAGTATCAAGAAATGTAAACAAGAACCACATTAAAAAAAACAAGTAAATTAGGGGAAATCCCAGTGCATCCTTTTCATAATCATCTCCGGACTAAGAGTTAAGCAGTTCATAATATAATAATATCATCATCAAAATTACTTTTAATCCATACTCGTAAAAGTACAAGAAACATGCAATAAACACCAACATTCAGCAATTTCATTGTCTAAAGCTCTAAACTCTCCATCCATTGTTATCAATCAAACATGTACACAAAACAAAACAAGATCTTGGATGCCCTATGCTAACCTCACATTCCAACAAGCAACACACAAGTCACAAAACATTCATGTTATTGTTGACCAACAAATTCCCTGTAATATCAAATCTAAACAAAAAAACCCAATACAACTTACTTCTTATCGGAAACAATAGCGCCACCGCCATAACCATCCTCAGCCATAGCAGAAGCCTCCGCTTCGAGCTTATGCCGAAGCTCCTCACACTTCTCAGCAATCTCAGCATCAGTGTAACCCTGTTCACTAAGCTTGTCCTCCAAGATCACAAGCTTAAGCTCGATTTGACGCTTTCGATCGTGCTCCAAAATCTCCTTGTTGGCCTTCTTGCTAATACCACCCATACCCTGATCAGGGCCAAACCCCAGGTTTCCATCCACAACCACTTTCGAGGTTTTCCCACGAATCAAAAACTTGTTGGTTTGAACATACCCATTTGTTCCAGAACCCCTTGGCGTCTGTAACCCTATCCCATTATACATCTTGATTCAAACCACTGCAACAATTTTAAAAAAATCCCAAACTTTAGCAAATCCAACAGCAATTAAATCCCAATTTCATGGTTCGATGTTAACATTAAAGGGTTCTACAACACTTTAGCAACCAAATTTAACTCAATTATCAAATTAGGGCCATAGTTCAATCAGGAAAATTTGACTCTCGTTTAGTAAGTAATCGATTTCAGGGGGGAAAAAAAAAGATTGAGTATAACGAGTATAAAATCAACGAGAAACCCTAAATTGTGAAATTGAAAATCGATAATTACAAAAAGAAAGAAACATTTTACCTTAAAAGCTGCTTGAATGGAAGAGAGAAATATGAATGGAGTGCGGTTGAAAGGGAATCTGAGAGAGAAAGAGGACAAATCTATGTTTAGATGATAAGAACTAAACCTCACTAAACCTAAAAAAAGGTGCAAAAATATCGTACTACTAGTAGATTTTTATTTTTTCTTTTTTATTTTATTTTTTTTTTTTCTTAACTAGTAGATTAAAGATGGTAGGAAATATATATTTATAACTAATACTAAGTTGCTTCAAAAAAAAAAAAAAAAAAAAAAAAAAAAAAAAAAAAAAAAAAAAAAACTAAGTAGCAACCGCTGACATCACAGTTGACATCATCTCTCTTTAAAATTGTATACGTGTCGCTATTCTATTAAATTTTTCCCCGCATAAAAGCTTTGATGATGTCATTTTTTTGTGATATTTTATAACAAGCTAAGTAAAATCTTTCAACAAATTTATTCTAGAAAATTGGAATACAACTCTTCAATTTGATTTTCAACTATTTATTTTCAATTATCTAATTTGTCTTTGCATTCGCTCTAAGTTTCTTATAAAAAATGGATATTTTGAGGTTGGGATTATGCATTGCACTTGATTATAATGCTAGACTATGTTAAGTTATAATTTATTATATTTAATGATAATATTTAAATATAATTTATTTTTAGTGATACGTATTTTCTTCTAAATTATGGAGTACAATCAACCTTACTTTAGCATTTCTTCTTATTAATTGAGTTTCTTTGACCAAATTTGTAAACCCAATTTTATTTTCAATATCTTATATTATGCATTGTTAAATATGAAGTGTAAAATTCCTGTAGGTGTTGATATTATTCCTTCAAAATAATTTGTAATTAAGTTATTTTATGTGCCTAAAAGCTAGGAGTTAATGGATATTAGAGCATATTAATCTCCTCAAATAAAGTAGATTTTTAGGAGTATTAGAAATCAGTTTTTTTGGTGGAGTAAATCATGGCCCATGTTTATCCAATACTAGCATTATCTATTTTTTAGTTTAAGTTTGTTATTGTAGGGCCTATATAAGAGGCATCTATGTATTTCATGATTGAATGAAGTATCAATATTATTTTCTATTTAAAAAAAAAAAGTATCAGTATTATTTTCAACGTTTATTTATGTTCTCTTTTACTTCTTATTCCAACAGTAGGATGATTGATAGTTATGAAATTTTGACTTAGTATATTGATTTTGCAAGGTCATTACAACTCCTACATCAAAGGGTTTTGGTTATTCATCAATTTGGATGTTGTGTAAATTAAGTTAAAGTTGGCTACTAGAGGTCAATTATATAGAAAGCATTATTGAATGTATTATAAGTATATCATTAACTACATAGGCTTATGATTTTATCTATTAATTTATCTTAGATGTTTGATCATTCAACAAGAAATTAAAGCTATTTATTTATACATACTTATGAAATATGAGTATAAAAATATTGTGTTAGGATTTTCACCTTCCAACAATGAATTTATGACAAATTTGAAAAGATTATTTATATTTGGAGTTCTATACTACAATTTTTTTTTATTTTCTTTTTTTTTTTAATTAAAATCGTGCACCGCACGGGACTAATCTATTATACGACTATACTAATACCTTTTTTTTTTTTAGGAAATATATGAGTTTTTCTTCCTTTGTAAGTTCATCTACGATTTTAACCTTTAAGATTAATCTAACGGTTATTTCACCAAATATCACTGAGTACTTTGATAATTCACCATATACCCATGAAACTTTATAAATACACCATGTAACCCTGAGTATTTCGATATTTCACCATATGCCCTTAATGACTAACGGACGTTAACTCCGTTAGTTATTAAGGGTTAAGTATGCCACGTGGCATCTTTTTATTGGCTTCCTTTTAATTATTTAATTAATTATTAAAAAAAAAAATTAATAAAAGGGAAAAAAAAAAAAACCCCACACCCCAGCCACCATTGCCCACCCCAGCCAGTCCCCGTCCCATCGTCAGCGCCCGTACCACCTCATCCCGCCGGCACCCGGCCTCCCCCTTGTCGGTGACCACCACCCTGTCAGCCCCACCCACACCCAAGACCCCCACCTTCCCCCAAACTCACACATTGTTGCGCAAGAACCCAGCCCCTTCCGCCGATTCCAGCGCCGGAACATCCCCCGACCACCTAAGCCCCCTCCCCCGCTTCCGGCGTCGCCGCCCGCCGTTCCTAGCTTCCCACCCCTGCTGTTTCCCCAAAACCCTAAATCCACACCCTCCCTTTCTCTAACCCTCAAAGCAACCCCGGCCACCCCCGAACACTCCCCCCCTCCCCCCCGAAATACCCGAAACCCCTAAAAAATTCCACCCCCACCCCTGAAAAATCCCTCTAAGGTTTTCGAGGGTGGGGGAGGACCGATCGGGGTTTTCCAGGGGTGGGGGTGGGGCTTTTTAGGGGTTTCAGGTTTTTAGGGGAGTGGGTTTAAGGTGGTGGTTTAAGGGGAAGAGGAGGATCGTCGATGGCAGGTGTAACACCCTAGAAATCCCTTTCCCTTAAAATGCCTATTTTGTTCTTTTTAAAATACGAATTAGGAAATTTTAAGACATTACCGCCACCGTGAAAACAGCTAAGGCAATTATTAAAGACTCACAGCGGAAGACTCACTTCAAAAATCATTCAAACCAAGTTAACTTAAAAGTCAAACCAAACGAAAGTAAAGTCAAACGAAGTCAACCTACAACTTGGAACTGTTGGGTTTTGTAGCGTCCAACGCTACGCAAAAGAGAAACCCGCCAAAGACCCGCCCACTAATTAGAGCAACTAAACATGAAATTACATAATTAATAACATAAGAGAGAGAAAGAGAAAAGACATTCTTACCGTTGACACGTGCTTCGCTCGATCGATTCACGAGCTCTTGCTTCAAAGCTTGAGCCCCGCAAGTGCGACGGCCTCCTACGACTCGCACCCTCAACCCGAACCGAGCGATCTTAATCCCAAAGGTTAGTCGGGACTTGACCAAATAAAACTAGAGTATTACGAACTTAAAGGTTTTCTCACTAATGATGAGATGCCTTATTGAGTTCAACTCAAGTGATTTTGTCCAAACCCAAAATTTGGGTATTTATAGGGAAGGGAGCCTTGATCTCCCTTCTCCCATCAATGTGGGAGATTTGCATTTTCCTCTATTTTATTTTAATTAAAAACAAAATAAAAATGCAAGGCAATCAACAAGCTCCAAGTGTCACATGGAGGGAGAGAGTAGGTGAGGACCATTAGGGGGGGGGGGACAAATCCCCTTGCTCACCAAGTAACCCCTCAATTTCGGTCCCCACACAAAAACCGCACCACCTCGCCACTTAGCTGGCTGGCAGCCTGCCTTGGCTGCCAAGGCTTCCAGCTGGCGCCTAGCACCAAGGCTGGGCAGCCCAGCCAGCCAGCTCGCAACACGCGCGCATCCAGCTAGCACGCAACCAGCCAGCACACGCATGCGCTGCTGCTGCTGCTTGGTGCGTGCTGCTATGCGAGTGGCGAGTGCTTGGTGTTTCGGGGTTTTCTGATGTCCTGCGGGAGAGTTACAACACCGAGACTGGAACTGGACGCCTGTACCTGCAAAATAACGGAGACTCCTGAGAGCTCCGCCTCCAACGGTCAAGTTAGTACCTGATTAAGGAGTAATGAGTGCGGAAATTAAAGTGGTTTAGTCTCTCTAGGTGAGAGTGTTTAATGTATAATCCGTGTGTTATTAGAGTTCTCTCTCTTAATGGGGATTAAGAGGAGTATTTATAGTCTTGAGAAGCGTGCCACTCTCTAGGTTTAGGGTAAACCTAGGGCTGACCGGGCCTCTAAACAGGATTGGGCCTTGGTGGCCGGTTTTCCCATCTGGCATGGGTGGACACGTGGCGTGTCTCAATTAGTCCGCAAAGGACGAATCTGTGATTGACACGTGGCAGGCTCCTATTGGCCTACGTGAAGGACACGTGGCGGAACCTGGTTGGTCCACTTGTCAGACGGTGATTGGAGGATAAAAATCCCCTAATCATTTGCCCCTCACAGGTGGCACGTGACTGGTCACGTGTCGCCTGTGACAGGTGTCGCACGGTGACAGGCGACGGCCTGCTACAGGTGTCACCTTGCAAACGGCCGAGAGATTTTCCCGCCCAAATTTTGAATTTGGAAGCGACCCTTCGCCCTCACTTTGCCTATATAAGGAAGTGCTGACTTCGGTCATTTTCACATTTGAGAACTTTGCGAGAACATTCGGACCCCTGAACTTGCTCTGACATTTCGGACCTTTTCTGCCTACCGCCTGTTCTGACAAGCCGACTGACCCGGATTTCCAGAACTTCATCAACCGTCACTCGTTCAGGTAACTCAGCTCTCTTACTCTTAATTTTCTTTTTATTTTTTTGAAATGGCACCACGGAAGCACACGACACGACCTAAGTTAGTGATCAGCCGGTCACCGGGGACGGCTGAATCTAGGACTAGGAGTGCCGCCTGCCCTTTTCTGGACCCATCTTTGCCCCTTATACAAAGTCCGACTGTATCTGTGTCTATGCAGAACGTGATGGCCAGAACAAAAAAGACTGCTATGATATCAAACTCAGACGGCTCCTCCCAAAGGGTGCTCCTTAGTGAAACATCTGACCAGGCGCCAGATGTAGAATTGAAACGAGGCGGCTGCCAAGCCGACAGTTCTGAGAGAGGGGGCAAGGTGGTCCCTTCCCATCTTACCGTTGATAAGTCCAACTTCTCTCCTGCTCCTTCTAAGGGGGAGGAGGCGGGCCCCTCTAGGAGAGGGGAGGAGTCGTCCTCTTCGGACTCGTCAGAGGACGAGTCCGAGTCCAGCTCTTCTGGCCACGATTCTCCAGGCTCAGAAGAAAGAAACAGCCGCCTACAAGAGGTGAGGCTTTCTCATGCAGTTGAGAAGGGGAGCAATTGGGCGGAGCCGTCCGCCTCTTAAAGAGAGGAAAACACCCCCTACTACTGCACGGTACCCCGGGGCCGGATCGCGGCCATGAAAGACAAAGTGGAGAGCTTTATAGCTAACCATAGAATGGGCCCCGGATTTTTACTGTTCGTGCCGGATCCAGAAGACACTGTCGTCTGGCCGGCTGGTACCAGCTATGATAGCGGCTGCTTTGGCTGCTATGAGGCGGCCATCAAAGCTGGACTGCGCTTCCCATTACATCCGGCTGTTCAGCG